CCTTATTCACTGTTCGTGTCCAATATTATGACTGTAATGTGTGCTTATTAAATTGGTTGAGGTATACTATTTTGCATTTCTTAGCCGTGAAATATTTTCTGCAGGTGGTGAAAAGATCTGGTGTAATCATAAAGCCAATCAAGTTTGAGGAAATAAATCAGCAAGAAAAATCTGGGAATCATACTCGGAGTGGACAAAAACATAGGAATAATAAGAAGAGTAAAGGCGCTGCTGGGAAAATGAAGAAATGATAACACCAGACCAAATCAACACTGCAATTTCTGCGGAGTATGATATGAAGAAGCTTGTTTTTATTTCCGGAAGATCACTTTTTATAGAGCATGAAGAGCTTTTTGTTACTTTGTAATCAGAATAGTTGTAAAGTGTGAGGTAATTTGACGCAGGCGGCAAAGCAACAATTTTAGAAGTTTTGATTTTTCTTTTCTGATACTGACAAGTTTTGATATTAGTCATGCTACATTGGCATGTAGAACCTTATTTTATCAACCCCTGTTTATAAAGGGTATTTTTGTTCAATTTTTCATTTCTCATACCGACAAGTATACATTATTTCAAGCTTATGATCGACTCCTCCTTCTATTGAAGACCATGCAGAGACGTAAGTGATAAATTTCTTTCTTCGTTTTTTCATCCCTGGAGAGATTCATTTTTCGTTTTGACTTCTGACAAGAAGAAAAAAATTGCGAAGTTATCGATTCACAGGGATTGATGATTTTTTCCTTTTTTCAAATTCTTCACTGGTTTTCTCTGTATCGATTCAATCTGAACTCGAAATTTCCGAACTGGACCAGATGATGTCAAAAGCAGAATGACTGCAGCAACATTCTGATCTCTTTATTCCAGAAGAATGTTGCTATGTATTTCAAGGATCTTTCATTTTCACCTTTCTCAGGAATTTAACAAGAAATCAAACTCCCTGTACACAATATTTACACAGCAGCAGGCTTGCTGGGAGTCAGCGAGCGTCGTTTCTGAGACGTTTTCTCTTGCGCTTGAACTTCAATTCCTTCTTTGAGGTAACCTCTTGCCTATGCCATGGTCGTTTACATAACCAAACGCAACTATATTCTTACATTCTGTTTTTCTTTATTCACAGGCCACTGCGAGAGGTGTACTGAATGTCGTGAGACCACGCCCTGCACTACCAGGTCTGAATCAGCATTCGCATTTAACTAAGTGGAGAAGATATTTCATCTGAGTTCACTATCTGTGTGCTGCTGGAGTCAGCAAGTTCCCTAGCCTAGCCAGCCATCCCCGTTTGACAGTTAGATGGATTGTTTATGCTTTAAGGTGCATATCTTGGTTAATACCCGATGACCGTCCTAGTCAGGTAGTTATTTAGTTAGCTCATGGCTGACTGGAAGTCTACTGTTTGCTTGACCGTCGAGCACCTATCCCTTGTAAAAGTTGAATTGAATGGTCTCCTGGGTAGCCGTAGTCCAGGCAGCTTATACGTGAATTCTCTAGCGAGCATGGGACTTTTTTTTTCCCCATTTTCTTTTAATGTAAATTGATTAGTTATAAAATTGTAACTGCTTGCTATATATCAAAATCACTCAAAATATCAAATATTTTCTGCAATTTGATGGATTGATTCGTAAAAAATTTAAGAATTCCTAGGGTCATTTTTCCTTTTATAACGATTCTCCAGTTCAAGAACCCATCTTTTATTTGAAGCAGCAAAATGTGCTGTTTCTTCTTCTTCTTTCCCTTCAACCCCCACCCCCCCTCTTTTTTTTTGAACATTGCAAATTTTGGAGATGGGGAAATCAAATATTCCTTACCAAGGACTCGAACGTTACCTCTCTGGGATGGTTCCTTTACGCTTGTCAATGCAACTACCACCCTATGAGAAATCTTTATTTTGTATTTTGCCAGTGGAAGGGAACAAGCCTATATAATGTTCTTTCCATTTCTGAAGTCTACCCAGAAGTTTACATAGTAAAAAAATGTGGCACGTAATTTTATATATCAAATAAGGCCACCTCAAGCTGCAGTCGTTACTGAGTGCAAATGGCCACTGCTACTGCTAGCAATGCCCATCAAATAATCAGGCAATCACAATACCAAAAAGAAAAAAAAGGCCAAACCTCAAAAGCAATCAAGCTTACACATACAAAAATGCATTGTATATTTATGATTCTAGTTTGGGGTTTTCTACACAATTACCAAAAGATGCAGCATAACTTCAGCTAGAGAGATAAAATAGAGCATAAAAGGGCAAAAGATGTGTTTGTTGTGTATTTGCCTTTGACAAAGTGTTTTCTCATTTACAGCTCGTCAAAACCTTCTTCATCTCCCTCTTCCTCGACCATCTCTTCTTGTGTATTTGCCTTTGACAATGTATTTTCTCATTTACAGCTCCTCAAAACCTTCTTCATCTCCCTCTTCCTCGACCATTCGAAATGCTCTTCTCCAAGCTTCCATCTGTGAGAAAAGCAAATACTTTGGTACATGAGTTGATTTCATGTGTGATTAGCATATCCATTTTAGATGTTCATCATTCATACAGATATATTCCCAACAAGAAATAAATAAAATATAGCTAACCTTTTATCATCCTCTATTTATAGATTGGTTAAGAAGATAAAAATACAAAATTACTAGTGCTCCCTCAATCACCACTTCGTAAAACAGACTGGTTTTGGCATGTAAATAGAAAATTTGGTATAGAGAACATGCTACCCCCCATAGACTGCTCAAATAATTGCAACTAAACCAATATTAAGAACGAGAACGTTATCAAAGGCAAGGTGGCTTGCTTGGCAATCTAGCATCCTTCTAAGCAGAGCCAAATGGGCACATAAATTTTGCCTAAACTTCAAAAGCCAAAAATCTTAGCAATTCCCACTTCTAAGAAGAAGAAGAAGAAGAAGAAGAAGAAGAAGAAGAAAAAGGCTTTTTACGATATATTGTATTTGTCCTAGCCTTTTCTTCTGAAGTGCAGAAGCTCTTTAACATATGGATATCCTTGAACAGGTAAGTATGCATATCTTTTGTGTGCAATTCTAAATAAATAGCCATAAGTAACCCAAGCGAAGTAACAGAACGTGGTGTTTTAGTCTTTAAAATGAGAACCAGAAACAAAAGTCATACCTGATCATCAGAAAATTGTAGGTGTTCTGCAACAAATAACATGTTCTTGTAATCTTTTGTTTCTATTTCCTTCCTTAAACTTGTGGCAACATCATTGTAGTTAATCACATCCACACGGAAACCATTGCTAGTGAATTCATTTTCAACCCAGTTTTCAGTAGTAGACTGCACCAAATACCAAACAACATCTAACATGTCATTAAAACACACTTTGAGTCAAAATATTAAACAAATGCCAACTGACCTTGATTCCAACTTCAGTTTCTGCCAACCATGCTGGCAATTCTCCTAAGAAAAAACTACCATTCATAGCCAAACCACTAATAGCAAACAAAATCTCTTCAAAACTTGCCAAAGTAATCAAAGGAAGTCCCTAGAGAAAAAAAAAAAAAAGTCCATAGATAAGTTAATATTCATTATCATCAAGTCGCCATGGACAATAAGTGTATTGTCACCTGAATAGCCCATATACTTGGTCGACTACCCGAAAAGCCTTTTGTGCGCAAAATTTGTTGAATATTAGAAGACTCTCGTGGAACGTGAAGAAGTGAACAACCTCTTGGAATCTTTGCCCCCACAGCTAATATTTTCAAGAAAATTTAGTTAGAACATGCTAGATATCTTTTCTAAACCCAAAGGCAGCCTTATGAAAGAAATTTGGGTTGCATAACTCATTGATGTAGAGATTATAAAGTTTTGGGAAGTAACAAATGATATTTATAACAAAAGGAGGGCCTGGTTACATGTTTACATGTGTAGCTTTATTAAATATATACCATGGCACCAAATACATGAAACTGTCAACAACTTTCTGAACTACAAGCAACTCTTTCTTAAAATGCTTGTCACATGACCTCCTTCTAGTCTAGAAGTCATAACTTAAAGAAATAGCATTTCATTGGTTCTCAAATGATCAAAAATGTTCACCAAAAGCTCAAAATTTATGAGATAATCAACATTGTCAAGATTTACAACCTTCTGTTCTTGATATTGCAGGCTTAGACAGACATAAAATGCATAAAATCAGTCAAATAAGAACAAACCTCTAAGTTTTTCAGCAGCCTTTTTGAACACCTGTTCTGGGGAAATATCAAATATAATGGTTGAACTTGGCCAGTTAAGCCTATATGGCCGAGTATCCATACCATCTGTTAACAAAACAACCTGTAATATATAGCAATAGTCAAGCTACTTACTTCAACATATCCTTAGCTGATGGCAACAAAAAAGATCCTACATTTATATTAGTTAAAATACCTGCTTAAGCCCATCAATATGGTTAACTGTACGAAGCAACTTGTCATCAATGAACTTTGTTGCAAGGCAGTAATGACTCCGTTTCTTCTTTAAATCCGTTTGAATGTTGGGATGGACCAGGCAACCAGCATATGGGTCAACAAAAAGCGGTTCTGTGTGCACAAGCATTGATCACATACATTACTGGCATTCAACTAGTAAAAACAAGCACTGCATATTTGCATTTTTGAATTAAGCAAGTATAAAAGCAACGGAAAAAGTTTAGAGCTGTAAATTAGGATGTTTAAGATATATGATGACCTGTGGACCAAGACTAAGGACGAAAACAGAGAACAAAAACTGAATGCACCACACAGTAAGCATTAAAGCTTAAGATGAATACCATTATACTGCAGAAAGAAAACAAATGACTGCTAGAGAGTTTCAAATAAACACTGCCACTCTACGAACAGAAAACACAGTAATTGTTTGATAAAATGTCTGAGAGAAAGTAGAAGCCGAATTAGAGACTAGGGGTAGTTGCCTGGTCTGTGGGTCTCTTGATAACGAAGAGATGCCGCATTCATGGCTGCTTGGAGTAATGGGTCATTTTCATAGCTGAGTTTTGCTCTCAATCCAACATTTCTCTTTAACTTGGAGCTGTACACCAATGGTGGGCGAAGCGGAAAAGGAACAGCTCGGTATCCCAACAACAATTCCATTGCAGTTTCTTACTTTCTCTTGATGGCTTCAAGCCGTCATTGTGTGTCCAGTAGGGTGTCTGCTGAGTCCGGTTTAGACACTCTGTCTCCTATCTCAAAGTCAAAATTATGGAACTTCTCACTGTCCTCTCCGACAGCTACACTCCCTCCTCTCACTCCCTACTCAGAGCGACTAGAATCACCTCCTTCCAAACTGCCCCAAAAAGGAGAGCTTTTTAAAACCCCAGAATTTTTCTCAATTCTAGCCTTAGAATTCCAATTTCCCAGCTAACCCCTTGGTTTTGTGCATCACTGGGCTGCAAATCGATGATCAATCAGCTTGAATCCCTTCATTCTTTTGCTCATAATTACTGTAAACTCAGCCAAGGATCTAGAAAAAAGTGGACAGCTTTGATTGCAAATTATGATACGGGCGAGTTTTGATTCCCCCAACACCAATGTTCATGGCGCCAGCAAACCCAGAAATTAAAAGTGAAGCTTGTAGAAATCTGGGTTAAACAACGAACTGAAAGAAACCCTTGACGAATAGAAGAACCCAGAATCTATATTTTATGATGATATAGCAGTTTCTTAACCCAGAATCTGGTTGGTTTTTTGAAGCCGCCGTTGTTTTGCCTTCTGTTTATGAATTGATGTGGAAGGCGATGATATCCAAGCTGAAAATATAGATTGTTTTTTTCTTTATTATTATTATTATTATGAATAATAATTTCCTTTTATTTTATTCTACTTATACATTACCTAATTTAAAAATTACAATTTTTTATTTTTAATAAAAAAAATCTCACTAAATTATTTAAATAATCACAATAGATTATCTATTTTATTTATGAGTTTTTATATCTTTTATCAAAACGGATTGTGAATTTAAATAAAGAGAGTTTGATTTCTTTTAAATAAAATATTAAGTTTAAATATTTTAAATGGAGAAATAAAATAAAAAAATAAATGTGGAGTGAGTTTTTCTTTATAAAATTCAATGCGATTTAATTTTAAATTAATAAAAATAAAATATGATTACTAGATACCAAATGATTAATAAAAAAATAAGTTTTATATCTTTTTAGATATATGATAATGCGTTGGTTTTTTTTTTCAAAGAAAAAAATTGATTAATATGTTGATGCATTGTATTCAACTAGTCCTATGCTCAAATTAATAAACTCTCTCTCTCTTTCTCTCTCTCTCTAACTGTAAATTTCTTATTTTTTAACACTTAGGCTCTCTCTCTCTAACTGTAAATTTCTTATTTTTTAACACTTAGGGATAACAACATCCAACTATTATGACTTCTAATAAACCTACTTCAAGGAATCCGAACTTTATTCCAATGGTTTAACCCTAAGCCCTAAGTGCTCGGGTGAGGTAGTCAGAGTTTCGAACTCTACTACCGTCGTGAACTCCACAAAAAATGGTTTAATGGCCGCACGCTTCATTTGAGGGGTGGAATATTCACCCGACCTAGAAATCGAATCCACAGTTGATAACAACTAATTCATACTAACTTTCTAACCATTACTCTTGTTAAAAAAAAAAAAAAAAACCTACTTCAAGAAGATATTAATTTTATAAATAAATTTAATAAATTTTTTAATGCACCCCCGATTTATTCATTTGTGAATAATACTACCATGTAGAGTATGAAAATTTGATATTATTATTATTATTATTATTATTTTGAAAATAAGAATTACATTAAAAGTGTTAGTATTACATTAAGAAGAAAGGGAAATGTCAAGTTAAGGACTTGACCAAAAAAACCAGTGTGCTCTCACCTGTTTCTCAATAAGAAGCATGCTTACATCGATCACATGGGTGGAAGGCAAAATATGAGACTAGTTTATCATATAGAATGTCACTCTTATGAAACTCATTATTTTTATACTATTATTTTGTGATTAAGGCAAAAATAACTTGTTAATAGTAGATACAACATCCTTTGCTCGATCAAAGTCACACACGTTTATTTACAAAAGAAATCATATTTCTGTTTATTTAAATAGAAAATTAGATAAAGAGAGAAGATTGATCTAAATTTTAGTAAGATTACGTTTGAGAAAGAGAAGTTATATAGAGATATAAAAAGACTAATACGAGAGATTAGAATTCACCTTGATAAATAGTCAATTTTATTTTAACAATAATATAGTTTTTTTTTTTTTGAACAATATACAATTTGAGAGAGGAAGAATATTTTTCGACATTGGTGGGGTCGAAACCTCGATCAACAAACCCAAACGCTTTAAGATTTAGGGGTTAATCACTAGATCTAAAGGTTCGGTTCAACAATAATATAGTTTTAATGTGATTCTAACTTAAATTCTAATATATCATTAAATAAATAAATGTTAATATAACATTAACACATCTTATGTAGTATTAAAAATACAATTCTCCTCCCTAGGGTTTCTCCCATGCACTACTTTTAGGGTAGAGAGCAGTGGTGGTGAGTTTTCCTCCCTAGGGTTTCTCTCCTACAAAGGAGTTCCTTCATCCCTCCTTTCTTCTTACCCCTCCCTTCCTTCTCTTGATTTCCTCCTTCATCTTGCTATTGCCTTGCTTTGGAAACTCCAACCCAAGGGACCACAAAGTAGTGACTTTTTGGGTTTTCTAGGGTTTACATCTATTGATTTTTGAAAGCTGCGATTGGAATTGATCTTGTAGGTGAAGTGCATTTTTCCTATTTAACAAGCAAGAATCTCGCTTTGGTGCACTCCTCAGATGGGATCTTGGCAGGAGTCAAATTTGGCGAATCTGGCTCACATCAATTCCCGATTAGCTAGTTAATTGTTGAAGGAAAGGGATGCTATTGGCAAGGTCGACTATGGACAGCGTGGGAAGCCTAATTTTCAAACTGGCAAAAGGGCTCTAATTCCTTTAATGAGTTTCGACAGCATGGGTTTGAAGAGGATCGGCAAAGATGAGAACATGATTGGGAGTATATGGAGGCGACTAGAGGGTCTTGTGCTTGTCAAGAAAAGGCCTATACCCTTCTTGGTTGTTCTTCTTTAAGAACAAGTAGGGCGGCAACTTATGGGTTGAGGACTGTTTGTTGTCGGAATCCCTTGCTCTCCCCAATAAGCTTATTAAATAGGTGAGGATATCTAGTAGTTCTTAATGCTCACAGTGACTCCCCTTTTTACATTAGTAGTCCTATTTGGCCCACACAACAATTGTAAATTCAATCTCTAGTTACAGATGACTCTTTTTACTTAATTATCCATATCCGTCATGTGTATAGTTTAAGTTTGTTACTAGTATTGTAGGTTATGCTTGTGATTTTGTCTTTAAGTTATTTTGATTTTGGCTATATATCATGAGATGAAGATTCTATTATAATTTTTTAGCACTTAATATATTTCTCTATTTCCCATCGAAAAAAAAAAAAAAAACATTTTTAACCACAACCATGCAATAGTATACAGCTTCTAGGCTAAGTAGGATAGAATTAATTTTATTAAGCTGTTAGTTTCTCTGAGTTTTAAACCTTTAGGACCTGTTAGCATTAAAAATTCTTTACTCCTACCAAGAACAACCAATAATCAATGAGTGTAATCAAATGTCTCAAGAAATGCAATTCACAGGTATAATTTGGAAGCAAGTTGTAATAAGAATTCGATAAACTCACCTCAACAATAAGTCACACAATGGTATAGTTACTGTTGTTTGTCCCCCCTGAAACTTCTACAAACTGATCAGCAATTCTAATGTGCTCAGCATTAATTCTCGTGTCCTCGGGAGTAGCCATGGTCACCGATAAGATTGTCTTTTCTATGCCAAATGTTTCACAAACCCATGCTTGAACACTGCGGATGAACTTGACGGCTGCCATGGAACCTAAAGAAAAACAATAGGACTTACCTTTCGAGTTGAATTGCTTTGCTTCTTTCCATGATCCTACTTCTCCATAGAACCTAAAGAAACAATTACTCATTTTGTCCAGTGTAATCCTTTTAGATAACAACAATTTTAGGACTCACCCAAAGAAAGCTTGCTGCCATGAGGCACACAAAAGTGACACAATTTTAGCATGTTCCGTTGGTTGCTTCTCTGATTTCATAAAAAATGAGCCGACTTTCCAGCAAAGAAAATTCCATTTCTTCAATCAAAAACAGAAAATTACGAGAAGAAGGAATGACTTTCCAGCAATGATCACATTTTATATTTTTAGTTTTGAAAGTTTGTTGTTTACTCTTAACTATTTTAAATTATACAATAATAACTTTTAAATAATGTGTCAACCCCATAATATTGAGCATCTCTCCTCTCATTTATATTTTAATATTTAATGTAATTCAACTGCAAAATAAAATTTTTTTCTAATTCAATTATATAAGACTTTATTTTTATTTTGTATTAATCTTTTAATATCTAAAAATTATATTGGATCCCGATTAACTTAAAATCAACTCGCATTGAAAATTCTTTCAATTTCTATTTTTCCATTCACAAGATTCAGTTTTGAGATTTCATTTAAAGGAAATTAAATTCATTTTATTCAGATAAATAGATTGTTAGTAGATTTTATTTATTTATTTTAGTTATATATAAAAAATAATAATCTCTCATACTTTATTTTATCTCATTTATACATTATATGATTTAAATTTAAAATTTTTTATTTTTAATAAAAAGATTCAGTTTTGAGATTTCATTTAAAGGAAATTAAATTCATTTTATTCAGATAAATAGATTGTTAGTAGATTTTATTTATTTATTTTAGTTAT